AGGTTTGATAATTCACTAGAATGACCCACAGAACTTAGAAGAGCACTGTACTTACAATTACAGCTTTATTATACAGGATACTATCCCAAAACAGCCAAATGAAGAGACACATAACATTTAGTGTGAAGAGCAGTGCAATGCTTCAGTGCCTTCTTGCCAAGACAGGGTGTATCACCTCCTGGCACATCAATATGGTTACCAGCCAGGAAGTTCCCTTAAGCCTAGGTGTCCAGAGTTTTTATTGGGGTTTTGATTACCATAGGCATGATCAATTAAATCATTGGTCAGGTAATTTTTTTTTAAGATTTTACTTATTCATAAGAGACACAGAGAGAAGGGCAGGGACATAGGCAGAGGGAGAAGCAGGCTCCCTGGAGGGAGCCTGATGTGGAACTTGATCTCAGGACCCTGGGATCACCACCCAAGCCAAAGGCAGATGCTCAATCACTGAGCCACCTAGATGCGCCTGGTTAGGTGACTAAACTCAATATCCAAACCTCTCCCCTCTTCAGAGGTGGAAAATTCTAATCCTCTGATCAAGTGCCAGGTCTTTTGGTAACTATCCACCATTCTGAAGCTATATAGGGGCCCACCTTGAGTCACCATTACTATAATAAAGATACTCCTATCACTCTGGAAATTCCAGTTTTGGGGCGCCTGGGTGGCTCAACAGTTAAGCCTCGAGACCTTTAGGGCCAGGGCATGATCCTGGAGTCCTGGGATCGAGTCCCGCATCCGGCTCCCTGCATGGAGCCTGCTTTTCCCTCTCTCTGCCTCTCTCTCTCTCTCTCTCTCTCTCTGTGTGTGTGTGTGTGTGTCTCATGAATAAATAAATAAAATCTTTTTTAAAAATTCCGGTTTTGTGTTTTAAAGATTTTATTTATTTAACAGAAAGAAAGCTCAGAGCACAAGTAGGGGGAGCAGCAGTCAGTGGGAGAGGGAGAAGCGGGCTCCCCGACAAGCAGGGACTCGGACTCGATCCCAGGACTCCAGGATCATGACCTGAGCCAAAGGTAGACACCTAACCATCTGAGCCACCCAGGCACCCCCAAATTCCAGTTTTTTTGAAGCTCTGTGCCAGGAACCTATGACAACAACTAGATCTATTCTTTTTAAAATTTATTTATTCAGATTATTTATATATACATAAATATTATTTTACAAATATATACAATTTGTTGTTAGTAGATATATTCTTTATGGTGTTGTAGCATGTATCACAATTATTGTCATTGGGCCTGTCTCCGTGGTAAGCTCTGGGAAGGCAGGAATTCATCCTGTTTGCCATTGAAGCTCTAGAATCTTATTTGGGTCCTGTTAGATAAGGTACACTCTATACCTTTGCTGAGAAAAGCAACAAGGTTGGCTCTGAAGTAGTTCTAGACTTCACGTATTGCTTATGCTATAATCAAAAATAACACTTCATAGCCAACATGTCTATCAGTAGAGAACTAGTTGAATAAATTATGGTCTGCCCATACAATGGAGTAACTATCAAAAAAGAATGAAGCTGCTGCAGATAGATGTGTTAATAATGGATAGATCTCTAAGATTATGTAGTGTCACCAACAAAAGTGCAGAATAATATTGAGTGGTATACTGTTTTTAATGGACAGTGTAAAGTGTTCACATCTTAAGTGTACAGCTTAGTGGCTATTTACCAATACATCTGTGTTTACCACTTTGCTGATCGAGATCTAGAACATTTCCAGGACTTGGAAATCTTTTTCTTATTCCCCTGCAGTCCATACCCTCCAGATGGAACTCTTATTCTGACTTCTCTCACCTTACATTAATTTTGCCTGTTTTTGAACTTTATATCTTTGGAATCCCACAGAATATGCTGCCTATTGAAATATTTTAGTCTGTTACAAATAAAAAATGCTTTGTAATCTACTTTTCCTGCCTGGGCGCTATATCATGAACATTCTGCAATAAAAATCTGCAATAAAAATCATGATTTTAAATTTCTGCATTGTAGGTAGTATATTCTTGGTTATAATTTAAATGTTTAATTCATTTTTTTATTCATGCGGGAAGAGGGTTTCAGAGAGTCCATACAGGCATCTGTGGAGAAAATAGGGGTCAAACCTACGTCTCAGGTGCTCAGTCTTCCACTACAAAAAGCAAAGTGCTCAAATATGGATAGAGCCTTGCAGAGGTCTTACATGAGAGCATTATAATAGCAACAAGAATGACTAATAAGTATTAATAGCTCATGACAAGAGAACAAATGCTATTAATTATCTTAATATATTAGGCATATTAGTAATGTTTGTGCAGTATCATTCACGCAAATATTACTAGCGTATGTCAGGGACAGCTGCTGAGACCTGAGAACCCAGCCCACAGCTCAGAGCCGGGTTGCCCAACCCAGATGTGCAGGGGTCGGGACTTCCAGGGATTCACGCCCGTGAAGCTCTGAGGAGCCAATCAGCACGCAGGAGGCGGGGCCCCGGGAGCGACAGCGGTGCCATCCAATGGGCTGATAGTTGGGGTCGCCCCTGGCCAATGGGCGCGCTCCTCCTCGACGGTCGGAAGTGGGGAGGTGGCTCTGGGGGGCCGTTGTTGGGCGCGGGGGCTGCGTGAGGAGTCTCTGTGTGTGCGGCTAGCGGGGTCGGCTGCAAGTCCTTGCTATCGTCCCGGGTGAGTGTGGCCGCGACCCGCGCCCGGGGACCCCCCCGGCGGCCTCGGGCTCGGGAGGAGGCCGGCATCCCGAGGGCGGGGTGTGTGGGCGAGGGGGCTGTGGGCCCCGGGGGGTCGCAGCCGCCGGGAGAAAGACGGCCACGCCGCGGCGTCTCCTCAGGCCACTGGGGGAGGCCACACTTTCTCCTCAGGGAGCCCGAGCCTCGGCAGCCCCGGGCGGCGCCGCCCCTTCGCAGCCTTGGCCAGGGTGTCGGGGAAGTGGGCGTCGTCCGGAGCGCCGCTGTGGGCACCGCGCCCCGCAGGGCAGGGCAGGGCAGGGCAGGGCCGCAAGCCTCCGGCTTGCGGTGTAGGGGGCAGGGTGGGGGGGTGGTGCCGGCCTAGTGAGGGCTCAGGCCACGGACCGGTGTTCGAGTCCCCACTCCGACCAACTGTGAGGCGCCCAACTGCCTCTCCAGAATGGCATAATAATGGCTTTCACCTCGTAGGGTTGCGGTCTGGAGGAGAGGGTCCGTGCAAAGCGCTTAGCAGCCAGACTGCTGCTAATTGCGAAGCTGGTGCCCTCTCCGCACCACCACCCCCATCGCCGAGCTCCCCGGCGGCGGGGTGGCAGTTGGAAACTGCCTTGTGCGCCGGGACCCGAGGGGGCAGCGGCGCCCCAGATCCCTCAGAGGGGCTCCTTCTAAGGGTGAAGTCTTGCAGCGCCAGAGCACTTCCTTGCACTCGCTCGCTTGCTCCGTACAGCGGCCCTTTGAAGCACTGTCGGTTGTCGGCCTGAAGAATTCGAGGCCCAGAAAGGTTAAAACCCCGTTACTGCAGCGTGGCGGAGCCACCCGGCTCGACCCTCGAGGGGCCCACTCCCAGCCCCCCTGCCGCCAGAGGGCACTGCCCTCACCCGAGGCTCTCGACTTGGTTTAGTTTCTAGAGCACACCTAGAAACAGACGGCCCTGAGAAAAGGATCTAGGTTTCTCCATTGGGGAACGTGATTTAATTTCATAGGTCGCTACTTCCTTCCCCTTAGTTTACATTTCGTACGGGAGCGGTTATCTTGAGTCATGTAACTCCCTAATTTAAAAGCTTTCCGTTGTTTACCATTGCGCTTGGACTATAATCCATTATCTTTTCTGCACTGCATGATTAGGCCTTCTTGAATCATTCGCCTTTTTCATTATGCTTTTCCAGATGTACCTTTACTTTCTCTCATTACATTTTAGGCCCTCTACGGGATTTGGTCCCCCCCCCCCCCACTCCAATCCTCTTTTCTTCCTCTTTGCACTTCAGGTCTTAGTTTAAATGTCATCTTCCCACAACATTCTCTCATTGCCCTTATCTAAAGTAGATTCCCTTCATCTCCATTTGTCTGTACTTTTCCATCAAAATACTCACAGTGAGGTATTATCTATTAATTTGCTTATTTATCTCTGTCATTAATCTGTTAGACACTATATTTCTTTAATTTATGAAGTATTCTTAGTGCCAGTGTGGCACACAGGGTCTCAATCGACCTGTTGAATGAGTATGTGCTTTGAAAATGAGTTCATTCGGAAATGTCAAAACCATCAAAGAGCCCTTTTGGGGCAGTATTTAAGACCATTTTTGTGTCATGGAAAAGAGTAACCTAAAAAAAAAAAAAAAAAGTAACCTAAAGTAAATAGTGGTAACAAAATGGCCGGGATTTTACTCTGCAACTGACAATCTTGTTTAAAACGAAGGAAAAACTTTACAGTGCACATACCTGGCAGACACTCTCAACTAAGGATCAAAGTTAACATCATCTGTAATAATAAAACTGTTGACATCATGTGCTTTCTGATATAATGCACTGAGATGAGCACAACATCAGTTCTGTGGTATTCTTGCCAAAAAATGTATTAATCATGAGAAGACGTTGAACACTTAAACTGAAGGACATTCTACACTTAAGATTTTGAAAGATGAAGAAAAACTGAGGAAGTATCCTAAATCAAAGATTAAGGAGAGAGAAAAAGATTAAGGAGGAATAACTATATGTGATATGTGACCTTGGTTTAGGTCTTGAGTCAGAGAAAGTGAATTAGATGATTCATGAATATGATTTATAGATTAATTATTAACATTGTATTAGTGTTAGTTTCCTGCATTTGATAATTTTACTGTGGTTATTTATGATGTATTGGGTGGTTATACAGGAGTTTTTTGTGCTTTTGCAAGTCATTTTAAAATGAAAACAAAGTAAAATCTAAGTGTACTGGGTATTAAACTGATTTAATGTACTAGTTTGGTAACATTTTCTGTGTACTTGTTTTTTGTTTTTATGTTCTGCATGTCATCCTAAAAGCAGAAATGTAATTGAAAGTTTACACTTCTTCCTTTGTAGTTTTCAGGAAGAACTAAAGATGGCTGAATTTTTAGATGACCAGGACACTCAACTGTGTGACAATTGGTGAGAAATCTAAGAAATGTTGGAATGAGAACAAACTAGTTTCTGTTAAGGATTGGTTTATTTATTGGTAGGTTAAAATTGGAACCATATATATCACGTGGAAATAATATGGGACTAAAGCCTTTTTCACAATTTTCTATTACTACTTATTTTAGTAATGTAATAAAATGGTAGGTTCGGGTAGCATAGAGAAATGAGTAGAGTGATGAGGTGGAGCTGGCGGTCTGGAACTCTGGTACCTACCTTTAGTTAATGACTTGGACAGTCATCCCACTGTTTTAGAGCCTCAGTTTTTTTTTTCTTTCTTTTCTTTTCTTTTCTTCCTTTTCTTTCTCTTTTTTTTCTACTTTCTCTATTCTTTTTTCATGAGAGACACAGGCGGAGGGAGAAGCAGGCTCCAATGCAAGGAGCCCAGTGCAGGACTCAATCCTGGGTCTCCAGGATCACACCCTGGGCTGAAGGTGGTGCTAAACCTCTAAGCCACCAGGGCTGCCCGAGCCTCACTTTCCTAATGTATAAAGGATTTTTTTTTTTTTTTGTCTCTCTGAAAAATATACATTTTAATTTTTTTTAATTTATTTTTTATTCTTAAATTTTTTTTTTTTTTAAGTAGGCACCATGTGCAGCATGGGGCTTGAACTCACAACCCTGAGATAAAAGTCCCATGCTCTACCAACTGAGCCAGCCAGGCACCCCTCAAACATTTTTTTAAAAAAATACAAAAATATACAATGTTTGGATTAAATGAGTTTTTTCCAAAATGTGTTACAAAGATTTCCCTGTGTGGTTCTCTTGGAAATGATTGGGAGTAAGTTTAGTGAGGTAGGCTCTACATCTAGTAGTGAGAGAGAGTAGTTCAACCAGAGCCACTCAGCTGTTTTATAAAAACACTTTGCTTCAGTAATGGTCCACTGCTTTAAAAAAAAAAAAAAAGTGAAAGTTTTCTGGCAGTCCAGCTTAATCATTATCACTTCATGATTCCAGAATTGTTTGTGAAGACTGGGTGTAGTCTTAGATGTTAAGCTTTCTATTTTGGTGTGTTTAACCACGTGAGTGACAAGAAAGGGCAACTCTTTCTAGCTGAAATGAAACTTAGGAGTGTAGTTAATAATTTCCTAAGACTCTGGTATTTTAATGATATGTAAGTGCTCTTACAGAAAGCTAAAGAAGAAAGCAAAATGGAACTGTGTTTATGTACTATGTTTAACTTACCAAATTGTGGTAGAAGAAGAGATGTTGAAGAAGGAAAATAATTTGACTCAGATTGGTGTAAAATTCAAGCCAGATAACAATTTTTATTTTTTATTGTCTTTTTTTTTTTTTTTTTTTTTTTGCTCAGGCTTTCAGCAGAATTAGGATGTAATCAGAGCAACTGCTGGTTGCTATATTCTTTCCCTGAACAGAATTAAGATTTTATTTCTAAGAGAGTATCTTGCCTTGTAGGGTATTTTTTTCTATTATGCCACTATCACTTTCTGCCCCCCCCCTTTTTTTAAGATTTTATTTATTTATTCATGAGAGACACAGAGAGACAGAGACACAGGCAGAGGGAGAAACAGGTTCCATGCAGGGAGCCCGACTTGGGACTTGATCCGGGTCTCCAGGATCAGGCCCTGAGCTGAAGGCAGCACTAAACCACTGAGCCACCTGGCTGCCCTCATTTTTTTTTTTTTTTTTAAGATTTTATTTATTTGGGGGAGAGAGAGCACGAACAGAGGGGAAAGGGAGAAGCAGGCTCCCCACTGAGCAGGGAGCCCAACATGGGGCTTGATTCCAAGACTCTGGAATCATGACCCAAGCCAAAGGCAGCTTCTGATGGAACTGAGCCACCCAGGTGCTCCAACTTTCTGCCAATTTAAATACCATTTTAGCTCTGTGTTTTATACTGTTACTGATACTGAATAATCACTGATGGAAATAATCACAAGAAAACATTGTGATTGTGTAAGAAAGACATATTGGCAGTGACATCAGTTAAAATACTCTTATCGGTTCAATTTGAAGGAATCTCAAGGCTGGGACAACATATAAATAACTATGCTAAGGGAGTTAAAAAAAAATAAGTTAATGGAAAGCTAATGAAAACAGGGTTATTCAAAGCCACAGCAATTTATTTAAAGGAAAAAGATTAGCGCAGAAAGGTGACTAAGCCAGCACAAACTTCCCATCTAAGAAACCCTGTTTAAATTCCAGGTTTAAAATTTTTGTTTTTAGGGGATCCCTGGATGGCACAGCGGTTTGGCGCCTGCCTTTGGCCCAGGGCGCGATCCTGGAGACCCGGGATCGAATCCCACATCGGGCTCCCGGTGCATGGAGCCTGCTTCTCCCTCTGCCTGTGTCTCTGCCTCTCTCTCTCTCTCTCTCTCTCTCTCTCTCTTCTCTCTCTCTCTCTCTCATAAATAAATAAATAAATAAATAAATAAATAAATAATAAATAAATAAATAAATAAATATAATTTTTGTTTTTAGAGCCATATTTCTATTGTTCCCTAAGAAAAGTTAAGGTAATCTTCAAAATGTGACCTGCCAGGGTGCCAGCCTGATTGAGTTGGGCATAGAATTTACTAAAAATAAAATAATACATTTAAAAAGTTTAGAGGCTGGCTCAGTCAGTAGAGTATGCAACTCTTGATCTCAGGGTTGTGAGTTCAAGCCCTACATTGGTCATGAAGCCTACTTAAAAAAATTTTTCTTAAGTTAAAATAATGAGCGGACATTATATCCACTGGGCCAGTAAAAATAGTTTGTTATGATTGAAGATGTTCTTGGAAGTTCTCTCTCTTCTGTTGGGGTAGAGTGTGGTTCTGGGGAACAGGAACTTCAGTGTTAGAAGGCTTCAACTTATAGGGGTGCATGGCTGGCTCAGTGAGTTCAAGCCCAGTGTGGGTTATAGAGATTACTAAAAACAATACCCTCCTCCACCCAAACTTCGACTTTTTACTTTTGCATGACTTTTTACTTTTGCATGTATTCAAGAACTGATTTCTGTCTCGTTGTGTTTAGCATTTAGAAGGCTACTGAGAATTTTTCTGGAAGCTTTGGCTTGCCTTTCAGTCATTTCTATCTAAAATGAAATTTCATTAACTTGCTAGTTAGGGGTTTTGTTGGGGCTTTTAGCAGTTGGGGCTTTTAGCAGTTTTATCTAGGTACGGAATTGTGTGCTCTCATCTCATTTAAAACATCTTGATTTTATCGGTAGATAGGAAGCAAGTATATTGGTATTTTGTCTGGTTGGAATGTTTTATGGGACTATCTTGGCTGCTAAATTTAAAAAGAAAATAAAACCAGCAAACGAATGTTACATGTAATTGTTGCAAATATCTCTTTCAAAGTTTCCCAAGAGGTGAAAATGTATCCTAGTAAATACTCATACCCTAATGGTCATACCCTAATAGCTACATTTGATTCTTGTTGCTTTATGTTATCATTATGTGGTCCTCAATATTTTTTGGTCTAATACTAAAATTTTAGTAGCCTTGGGGATATAGAACGTTTCTGTGTCAATAAGTTATTTTGAATAGCCCTGTAAAATAAAAATTATAGACCTATTTTCTTGATTCTTACTGTTAAAAGAAAATTATTGTAAAAATTATGAATCTCAGCACCCTAAGCAGTAATTATTAGACCGCTTTTTGTGGCATTTGTGCATGTATGATGTATAATCATGATACAGCTCTACTTTCATTTTGTTGGTGTACATTTAACGTAGCCATTTTTTATTTATGAATAAACATTTAATTTATTTGACAGAGAGCGTGCAAGCAGGGGTAGCAGCAGACAGAGGGAGAGGGAGTATCAGTCTCCCTGCCTAGCAGGGAGCCTGATATATAGAGTCTCAATCCCAGGGTCCTGGAATCATGATCTGAGCTGAAGGCAGACACTTAACAAACTAAGCCACCCAGCGCCTCACCACTCTCTTAATATTAATATTTTTTAGTCTGGCCTGATTTTCATGTAATACCACTGTGCATAGTTTAGTCAGTAATGCTTGCCTTTCCCTTTGATCTGTTTTGTAGCAAAAAAGAGATTCCTGTGTTTAATTTTACCATCCATGAGATCCACTGTCAAAGGAACATTGGTATGTGTCCTGTCTGCAAGGAACCATTTCCTAAATCTGACATGGAGAGTCACATGGCTACAGAACATTGTCAGGTGAACTACCAAGTACTCAAATGTTCGTAAATATTATACTTGCTATTTTGCAATAGCAAGTGATCATGTTGTCACAAAGCCAGTTTACTGATTGTCACTTCTTACCATAGGTGACCTGCAAATGTAATAAGAAGTTGGAGAAGAGGCAGTTAAAGAAGCATGAGGTTAGTTTCCTTGTACCATGAAGAGCATGAGTCACCATGGGCCAGTATTACTGAACCACATGCAGAGCAGTAATCTGATTGAGTCTTATTTCTCTATCAGCTCTACGAACATTGTCTCTTAAAGCCTATCTAAGGCTTTGACTTTTTGCTGTCAAATTCAGCTATATGGCTATTGTGCCATATGCTCAGGCCTCAGAGCCTTTCTCTTTGGAACTGAGTCTGTCGTTTCTGTTGGGGTTTGGCTATTGGCAACCTCAGTGAGTGCTAAACCAAGCCTGGACTTGCCAGTGTAGTATAATCTCTTTAACACGGAGCTTGCCTAATATCTTGTAATTTCCTTTTGACTTCCTTAATCGTTCGGGTAACATGGTGTTTATTTTTATTTTATTTTATTTTTTTAAAAGATTTTATTTATTCCTGATAGACACACAGAGAGAAAGAGAGGCAGAGACACAGGCAGAGGGAGAAGCAGGCTCCATGCCGGGAGCCCGATGCGGGACTCAATCCTAGGGCTCCAGGATCACACCCTGGGCCAAAGGCAGGCGCTAAACCGCTGAGCCACCCAGGGATCCCCTAACATGGTGTTTACACCCAAAGAAGTTTCTAAGACTGTATTTGGTGAGAACAGCATCATTTAGTCCCTAATTGAGATAAAACTGGCCATAGTTAAGTGAACATTGTTTTTGTGAACGAGCATATTAATTCACCAGTTAAAAAAAAAATCCCAACTATTTAGTTGGTCACACAGTGTGTATATGTAAAAATTGATCAAGGTAAGCACTTAAAATTGTGCATTTCATTTTATGTACCTAAAAAGATAATTTATAATATAAAAAAATAATTCATATTCATTGTAGAAAAATTGAAAAATAAGAAGAAAACAATAACCACTCCTAATTCCACAGCACATATTTAAACATCTTAGAAACACTTTGGCACTCTTATTGTTTTTTCTGAGTATTCAACCTCTGTTTTACTAGGCTTCACCAACAAAGGGCGGTTATGATTGAGGTCACATTAACAGTAATGAGTATTTCTCTGGCTCTAATTTTTACTTGCTGCATAAAACAACCTCCAGACGATTGTCCTGGCTTCCATCTTCTCCCCTCCAACTATTTTGAGGAGTAACATTATAATACATCAATTATTATAAAGGTACAAGCACAAAGTGTTTCCTAACATTACTGCAAATTAAACCAAGATGGTTGTAGACCAGAGATTAAAGAGCTTTTTAATTCTCAAAAAAAAAAAAAAGAAAGAAAGAAAACTTTATTTGGTGTTTTGATGAGTTACTAGCACTTTTTAGGACTGTTAACAAGATACTGTATTATCTGGTATGTGCCAGCAATTTTTCCTCTTGGCTGTTGAGTAACTTTTTTTTTTTTTTTTTGGCTGTCGAATAACTTTAAATCAGTGGCATTTTTCTAGTTTTTTTTTTTTTTCCAAAAAAGACCTTTCTGAATTAGTGTTACAGCTACATGGTATATAATTTTATTTGTTTGTTTGTTTGTTTAATTTTATTTATTTATTCATGAGAGACACACACAGAGAGAGGCAGAAACACAGGCAGATGAAGAAGCAGACTCCATGCAGGGAGCCCGATGTGGGACTTGACCTTGGGACTCCCAAGATCACACCCTGGGCCAAATGCAGGCACTAAACCACTGAGCCACCCAGGCATCCCTATTTATTATTTTTTAAAGATTTTATTTATTCATGATAGAGGGGGAAAGAGAGAGAGACAGACAGACAGACAGACAGGCAGAGGGAGAAGCAGCCTCCATGCAAGGAGCCTGATGTGGGACTCAATCCTGGGACTCCAGGATCACGCCCTGGGCTGAAGGCAGGCGCTAAACTGCTGAGCCACCCAGGGATCCCCGGTACATAATTTTAAAGTTGCAGAAGTGTATATGTAAAAATTGTCTCTTCTATTCCTGTTCCTAGGCCTTCTTTAATCATTTTCTTGTGCTTTTTACAAGAGGTATTTCACGCATGCACAAAAAAATGCTAAAAATGTTTAAAGTAGCATTTAGAATAGGACTTGGGTTTAGTTTGTATGAAAAGAAATGTTTGCTCTTTGGCACAGTGGTTGTAAAATACCTAAACTTTTGAAATGATGTTACACTGAATTTCTGAGTTTAAGTTCTCAAAAGTTTGGAATGTGTATATCAGGGTAACATATGCCTTTATGTCTTTTTAATTTTTTGATGTTTTAATTACAATTTCAAAATCAGTTTTGTAAAAAAAAGTTCTGTCCTTCATCTGCTGAGTATTTTCATTCTTTGGGTCATCTTCACTGGTAATTCATGGTTTATTTGATCATTTTAAAGCCAGTGCTATATACAAATGTACAGATTAGAAAAATCTGTGTCTTTCTAAAGGACAGCCTCTTTTCTTCATTACTAGATGCTTAAAACAGATAGGAGTAGTAAAGGGAAATTGGGCTGGTAGAGCTTTGACAAACATACCTGAATTGCTGTGCTTCTGCTATTTGCTCTTGGGCTTTTCTGGCTGGTTTTGGGTTACTTCGTAATGTGTGCACAAAATGATGATAGGGTGGCTGAGTGAGTAGATTCCTTCTAAGAATTTCTCTCTGTAGGGCAGCTCGGGTGGCTCAGCGGTTTAGCGCCTGCCTTCAGCCCAGGGTGTGAACCTGGAGTCCCAGGATCGAGTCCCATGTCAGGCTCCTTGCATGGAGTCTGCTCCTCCCTCTGCCTGTGTCTCTGCCTCTCTCTCTCTCCCTCTCTCTCTGTCTCTCAAGAATAAATAAATTCTTAAAAAAAAAAAAAAAAAAAAAGAATTTCTCTCTGTAGACCCTGGTGACAGAGACCAAGAGGGAAGCTGTGACTCTTAAATGCATATGAAGAAGGCATGGCAGACAAAGCTAGAGTTGGAAGAGAATATTAAAGAAATATTTTTGACTTTCCTTTCTCTGCATTAAAACATAGCTTCTTTTAGATTGGCATACTAACTGCCTCATTACTGTGTTGCAGGAGACTGAATGTCCTCTACGGCTTGCCCTTTGCCAGCACTGTGATTTGGAACTTTCTGTTCTCAAATTGAAGGACCATGAAGATTACTGTGGTGCCCGGACGGAGCTTTGTGGCAGTTGTGGGCGCAATGTCCTGGTGAAAGATCTGAAAACTCATCCTGAAGTTTGTGGGAGATTTGGGGAGGAAAAGAAAGATGAGGTTGCCATGCCTCCTAATGCATATGATGAGTCCTGGGGTCAAGATGGAATCTGGATTGCATCCCAGCTCCTCAGGCAAATTGAGGCTCTGGACCCACCTATGAGGCTTCCCCGAAGACCCATGAGAGCCTTTGAATCAGACCTTTTCCATAGTAGGACTACCAACCAAAGGAACATGACAGCCCAGTTTCCAATTCAGAATAATCTATGTGAGTTGTGTTTGGATTAGAAAACGAATGGTATCAAAATCTTGGCAAATGATAACAGAGTTTTGGGGGCAAATAGATCTTAATTGTAGAAACCTGACTGTAGTTGGGTAACATTAGAAAGAATACCTAACTTTACTCTAGAATGGAAATAATAGAACCTTTTTGCTATTGGATTATAGCTAGCATGGATGATGATGATGACAGTGACAGTCCTGTTAATAGCTAATATTTACTGAGTATACCCAGCATATGCTTCAGGCATTTGTAAAGGGCTTTATATATATTAAATGATTTAGTCTTCACAGGCATTCTTCTGAGGGTAGATAAGTGGTATAGCTGGGAATTGAATTCAGGCAGTCAGACTTCATGCTTCACACCATTCTGTTATAGTGTAGAAATCTATGAAAAATGTTTAGTAGCACAGTGCTTGTCTCATAGAGCTCAATAATTTTGGGTATTAATAAAAACTAGAATAATAATGGAACCTTTTATCACAGCAGAATTAATATTTGGAGCCCTGTGAGAACAGGAAGACTAGGCCTATTTTATTCCTGCACAGATGCCTTTAAACCTTGGATATTTGCTAGGCATGGACTTGAGTAAGGTAGCAACATCTCTATTTTTTTTTTTAAGGTTTATTTATTTTAGAACGTGAATGCAAGTGAATGGGACAGGCAGAGGGGGAGAGAGAGAAATCTCAAGCAGACTCCACACTGAGTGCAGAGCCTGAATGCAGGGCTCAGTCTCATGACCCTGAGATGAGGATCTGAGCCGAAATCAAGAGTCAGATGCTTGGGATGCCTGGGTGGCTCAGCGGTTGAGCATCTGCCTTTGGCAAAGGGTGTGATCCCCGAAGTCTGGGGATCGAATCCCACATCGAGCTTCCTGTATGGAACCTACTTTTCCCTCTGCCTGTGTCTCTGCTTCTCTCTCTCTGTGTCTCTCATGAATAAATAAATAAAATCTTTAAAAAAAAAAAAAAAGATGCTTAACTGCACCACCCAGGCATCCCACTACTATATCTTGAATAATGGTTATTATTTTTTTTCTTCCAGTGGAAGAACAAGAAAGACAGGAAAAGAATAGAACCCGACAAGCCTCAAAAGAGAGTGGTGAAGACAGTGCAAACTTGGACTTTATGTTGGCCCTAAGTCTGCAAAATGAAGGGCAGGCCCGCAATGTGGCAGAGCAGGACTTCTGGAGGGCTGTATGTGGTGCAGAGCAGTCCTTTGAAGGTTCCAATGCTCTGAATGACATGAAGGGTAAGTTTGTTTATTCTGCACTAGCCTCTGTCTCTACAGGTTTTTTAACTCTTATCTCTATATAATTTATAGAAAATCAAGAATTTTTCATGAGATAAGATTTGCCTTTTTTTTTTTTTTTGCTTTTTCCCAACTTTTTATTATTAAAAAACCTTAAAAGACTTTTAATCACAGAAAACTGGGGGGTGCTTGGAGGGGAGTGGGTTGGGGGGATGGGTGATGGACAGAAGGAGGGCACATGATGTGATGAAGAACACTGGGTATTATATAAGACTGGTGAATCACTGAACTCTGCCTCTGAAGCTAATAATACATTATATGTTAATAGAATTTAAATGAAAAAAGTAATCAAAAATACAAAAAAAAACAGGGTAAAAAAAATAGTACAGTGAATGTTTATATGCTCCTTATTTATATTTGCCAATTTTAGTATTTTCCACTTATATATTTTTATGTATATCCCTGAACCATTTGAGAATAAATTGCAGGCATAACATTTTATTCTTACTTTAGCATTTATCTTAAGAACAAGGGTATTCTCAGCACCTGGGTGGCTCAGTAGTTGAGCATCTGCCTTTAGCTCAGGGTGTGATCCTGGGGTCCTGGGATCGAGTCCCACATCAGGCTCCCCACAGGGAGCCCGCTTCTCCCTCTGCCTGTATCTATGTGTCTATCTCTTGTGAATAAATTAATAAAATATTTTTTAAAAAAGAACAAGGGTATTCTATGTAAACACAATATGCATATTACTCTTAGGAAATTTAACAAAAGTTCCCTACTTAAACATAATATATCATTTGGAGCTTATTTTATTTACAAAATCCAAGATTACACATTGTATTTAGTTTTTTTAAGGTTAATTTAGGCCCCTCTACCACCCCCTTTTTTTCTTGTAGTACATGGTTACTTTTTGAAGAGTCTAGAATAGTTGTTTTGCAGAATATTTCTTTCTCAACTTGGATTTGTCTGATTGTTTTCCCTTGGTTAGACTCAAGTCATGCACTCTTGGCAGAATTCCCACATTGGTGATGCTGTGTCCTTCTCAGGATTTCAGTTTATCTTATTAAAATGAGATCTATCAAATACCTCCATTATATGAGTAGTTTTTCCCTTTATAATAACTAGATGCAGATGTTAATTTGAGGTTGTGAGGGAATGAGACATTTATGGAACCTTTTATTTAGCAGTTTTTTGTATTCACTACTGTTTCTTGCTTGAGTTAGGTATAACTGGTGATTGTACATTGGTGATTTTTCTGTTTTTATCCTTTGTTCTACAGGTTATTATTTTTTTTTAAGATTTATTTATTTATTTTTATTTATGATAGACACAGAGAGGGTGGTGGCGGGGGCAGGCTCCATGCCGGGACTCGATGGATCCCGGGGCTCCAGGATCGCACCCTGGGCCAAAGGCAGGTGCCAAACCACTGAGCCACCCAGGGATCCCCTACATTAGTAATTCTATAAAGAACTTTGCTCCCCTCCCTGATCTCATTTAAAAAGAATTCTGGAGTGCCTGGCTGGCTTAGTCTCTATGACTCTTGATCTTGGGGTCAAGAGTTTGAGCCTCACGTTGGGTATAGGAATTACTAAAAAAAAAAAAAGCAATAGATAAAAACAATTGTGGCTTGGTGTTTTGGTTTTGATTTTGCTTTTTTTTTTTTTTTTTTTTTTAGTATTATTGGACTCATGGATTAAAACTAAGTTTTTAAGAGTAAAAGTTGGATAGTGTTCAGTGAACCACCCCTTTGAGTCTTTTGTTTGGAGAACAGTATATTTGAGGGATGCATGTCATATAAAGTGTTGGAGTTATTAAGAGGTTTTGGGGACCTAAACTTAAGCAGCTGTCAGCTCTAAGTTTTCTTCATACCACTATGTGAATAATAATTCCAAAAATAATAGGGTAGGGATGCCTGGGTGGCTCAGTGGTTGAGCACCTGCCTTTGGCTCAGAGAGTGATCCTGGGTAGTATAATTCTTCACATCGTGTTTATTTATTTTTTATTTTTAAAAAGATTTTATTTATTTATTCATGAGAGAGAGAGGCAGAGACATAGGGAGAAGCAGGCTCCCTGCAGGGAGCCCGATGTGGGACTGGATCCAGGACTCTGGGGTTACAACTTTTCAACTACTGAGCCACCCAGGTGCCCGTTTGTTTATTTGTTTTAATTGAAGTGTAGTTGAGAAATTAGTTTCAAGTGTACAACATAATGATGCAACCATTCCATACATTATGAAATGCTTACCACAATAAATGTATTACAGTGTTTTTAACTATATTCCCTGAGCTGCACTTTCCATCCCCTTGAGTAGAGGATATTTAAAAACGATTTGCATCTATAATAAAAATGATTGTGTATGAATTAAATAGGTGAATTACATGGTATGTAAATTATATCCCAATAGATCTGTTAAAAGAGTAAAATTATTTTAAAGATTTAAGATTGTAAAAGTGTAAAAGGAAGCATAAGTCTCCTTCTCACCCACTGATAAGTCTCCTGGTTTTCCCCAGAGGTTACCACCTCCAGTAGCTAACAGGTAGCCTATATTCTTTGTACATCAAAGGATGTGAATATGTAATATGAGATTGTTTAAAAGATGGTTTTATTAGACTTTGTGCATCTTGGGGAGTAGAACAGGGCTTGCCAATGTAATGTTTGGCTTTGGATTCTTAACCATTTCTAAGTTTGGCAACTCTTTATGGGATGTTGGTATTCAGGTTCTCCCCTTTATTACCTTAGATCTGTTTTTTTACCTAATAGTTGCTGCTTCTTTCTCTTAGGAAAATGCACTAGTCCAAAGAAAGCATTTTCCAAAATCTGAGCATCATCTTTTAATGTGAGTCCCCTTATCAACCTTTCAGGCTTGACTTTTATGATGCTTAAGAAAGTAAAATGCAGTAGCATAGTAGTGACAGGTGAAGACTGGGTTCAGTCTTTATTTTCTTCTTTCTTGATCATACCTTAGATTGTTTTATTGACTTTTGTTTGTTTCATTCCATTTTTCTTCTCTGCTAGTTTGGAATTTATTTATTTTAATGGATTTATTTATGAGACACACAGAAAGAGTCAAAGACCTAGGCAGAGGGACAAGCAGGCTCCCTGCGGGGAGCCCAATGAGGGACTCAATTCCAGGATGCCAAAGGCAGATAGATGCTCAACCTCTTAGCCACCCGGGTGTCCTTACTTTGGAATTTATATTCTCTGTTCTTGTGATGGTTGCCCTGTAAATTTCAACATGTTTATTTACTTTAACAAAGATTGAAATCAACCTTGTCACACTTAACCCAATTAATACAATACCCTTAGAATTAGGATCATCCCTTTATAACTTAAAAACTACTGATGTATTGTTAGTGTTCTCATTTTCTTTTTAATACCATAATACAGACATTTTTTTCTTTTTTAAGGTTTTATTTATTTGAGAGAGAGAACGAGTGATGGGTAGGGACAGAAGGAGAGAGAGAGAGAGAGAAAGAGAAGCAGACTCCCTGCGAAGCAGGAAGCCTGATGTGGGGCTCGATCCCAGGACCCTGAGATCATGACCTGGGCTGAAGGCAAATGCTTAACTGCCTAAGCCACCCAGGTTCCCCAGATACAGTCATTTCTTGTTTTATATACTCATTGTATTTGTTTATTTTATGTTAACCATTTTCTTTGCTCACCCTTTCTTCCTTATTTCTCAGAACTTACCTTCTAGGATAAATTTCTTCCTAAGATACATTCTTTGGAAATTCTGTTGAAAGTGTCTGGATTATAAATTCTCTATCTTCTCTGTCACACAGTTCTAGATTGCCAATTATATTTCCTGAGTTCTTTGAAGATATTCTATTTCTTGGCTTCTATTGTTGGCTATAGAGAAATCATCTGTTAGTGTTATTTCTCTATAGGTACTTTGTCTTTTCTGTCTGACTGATTTTAAGATCTTTTTGTCTTTGAGGTTCTGCAGTTTCCTGATGATTTCTCTGGCTTTAAATTTCTTGGGATTTGCTGGCCTTCCTGATTAGTAAATTTAGTATTTTTCATCTACATGGAAAATTGTGATAATGTTATTTCTTTGGTTATTTTGCTTGTCTTCTATTCTTCATAGTCTTTTTATTTGTTTTTTAGAGATTTTATTTATTTGAGAGGGGAGAGAGCATGCAGGCAAATGCAAGAGGGAAGGGGTGGGGGAGCATAGGGAGAGGTAGAGAGAATCTCAAGCAGGCTCCCCACTGAGCCTGATACAGGGCTTGATCTCATGACCCTGAGATCATGACCTGAAACCAAATCAAAAGTCTAATGCTTAACCAAGTAAGCCAGGCGCCCCTACATGTTTTAGATTTTACTCTGTCTCCCATGTTTCTTAAATTTTTCGTTTGTCTTCTGTGGTACATTCTGGGTAATTTCATAAATGTCTTCTTTTTTTAAGATTTTATTTATGTATTTGACAGAGAGCAGAAGCAGGCAGAGGGAGAGGGAGAAGCAGGCTTGATCCCAGGACCCTAAGATCATGACCTCAGCTGAAGGCAGACACTTACCAACTGAGCAACCCAGGCATTCCTCAAATGTTTGCTTTCTAATCTATTGTTCAATATGTCCATTGAGGTTTCCACTTCAGTGATTATATGGTTTTCATTTACTGTATTTGAGGTTTTTTTCTAAGGTTTTTTATTTATTTATTCATGAGAGACACAGAGGCAGAGACATAGGCAGAGGGAGAAGCAGGCTTCCTGTGGGGAGCCTGATGTGCAACTTGATCCCAGGAACCCAGGATCATGCCCTGAGCTGAAGGTAGACACTCAACCACTGAGCCACCCGGGCATCCCTATTCTATTTGAGTTCTGTTTGATTCTTTTTTTCTTCAATTTGCCTCATCATGTTTTAAATGATGGGCTCCATGCGCTCAGTGGAGAGTCTGCTTAAAGATTCTCTCCCTCTGCTCCTACTCATGTGTGTGCATATGCACTTTCTCTCTCAAATAAATCTTAAAAAAAAAAAAAAAAAAACCAAAACACTTTTATATCTGGGGTAGTCATATTCCAGTTCCTTTTTAAACATCTCTTTAAACATTTTAAATATTTTTCTGTATGGTTCTAAAATGTATCTAAAGTCTCTTTTTTGCTCTATGTTGTTTCTGGTGACAGTCATGGTGGCTTACTGCCTCCTGCATATGTATTTTTTTTTTTAATTAATTTTTTTTTTATTTTAAGAGAGCATACAAGTGGGAGGGGCAGAGAAAGAGCGAGATAACTTCCAAGCAGACTCTGTGTTGAGTGCAGAGCCTAGCACAGGGCTTGATCCCATGACCCATGAGGTCATGATGTGAGGCAAAATCATGAGTCAGACACGAAACGGACTGAGCCACCCAGGTGCCGTGTGTGTGTGTGTGTGTGTGTGTGTGTGTGTGTGTGTGTGTGTGTGTTTTAAGTATATATATATATTTTTTTTTTTTTTATTCATGATAGACATAGAGAGGCAGAGACACAGGCAGAGAGAGAAGGAGGCTCCATGCAGGGAGCCCGACATGGGACTCAATCCCGGGTCTCCAGGATCACACCCTGGGCCAAAGGCAGGTGCTAAACCACTGAGCCACCCAGGGATCCCCCTTATGTGTGTGTTTTAACATTAAACTTCCTTATGTGTTATGAGAGTATTTATATATGCTTCTGGCAGGTGCCTAGGGATACTATTGAGTGAATTGTTTTAATATTTTATTTATTTTTAAAAGATTTAAGACAGTGCAAGGAGGGAGGAGGGGGCAGAGAGAGAGGAGAGAAAATCTTAAGCAGACTCTGCTGAGTGTTGAGCCTGACATGGGGCTCCATCTCATGACCCTGAGATCATGCATGACTCAGGTAACCCCTAGGATAATTTTAATTGAAGTTTTGATTGGCTTGGGCTTTTAAACATTATGAGTATAAAATTATGTAAAAGCAAGTATCGATTCTAGACTCATCTGGGCAAAGGCCAAATGCTAGCAACTGTTGGTAAACATTTTTTCTCCTACCCAGATTGAAGACCTAGGCAGGCAAGTTTTCTTAACTCTTCTCATTGTTTACTTTCTAGTTGTTTTGTTTGTTTGAAAATTTCATTTATTCATGAGAGAGACACAGAAAGGGAGGCAGAGACTCAGAGGGAGAAGCATGCTCCCCATGGGGAGCCTGATGCAGGACTCAATCCCAGGACCCCAAGATCATGAACTGAGTGAAAAGTAGACGCTCAACCACTGAGCCACCCAGGCATCCCTGTTTACTTTCCAGTTATTCAGCAGTCTTATTAATGCTGTTGTGTTTGGGGAGTCCTGGGTTTAAAACTACTCTTATTTATTCACTCATAAAATTACTTTTATTGAGCATCTTTTTTTGTATTTTGTACTGGGAAAGATTTTTTTTTTTTAGGATTTCTGTGTACCAGTCCTAAGTGAGCCTCAACTTCTTGATCTATAAAATGAGGGTAATGTGGGATCTCCTTTTAAGTTTTCCTTGAGGATAAAGATAATACACAGAAGCTTTTAGATTAGTGCCTATGGTTTGTACACATTTACATTCTTCCTTAATTAGAGTAGTGGGTAAGTAACTACTTTACTCTTATTCAGGAAATTGTGGCAAGTAAATCACCTTTTTCATGCTGGACCTTTTTTCCCCCTAGTATTTGTCTTTTAGATGGTTCCTCTGGGAGGATTTATAGCCTCACAAATTGCTACATCTAAGAAATGTCATAGGAAGTCAAACTTTTTTTTTTTTAAAGATTTAATTTATTTGACAGAGAGACAGCACAAGTAGGGGGAGCAGGAGGCAGAGGGAGAGGGAGAAGCAGGCTCCTGCCAAGCAGAGAGCCTGACAGGGGCTTGATTCTAGGACCCTGGGATTATGACCCAAGCCCAAGGCAGACACTGACTGAGCCACCCAGGCACCTCAGAAGTCAAACTTATATATATAACTTCACACGGGGGATAAAAAGTTGAATCAAGTTCATTTTTGTCATTGAGTCTGACTGTGTGGCCTGATACCTAGGTGCAGCTGACCGGACCATGTTGCCTTGTGAATTTTGTGAGGAGCTCTACCCAGAGGAACTGCTGATTGACCATCAGGTGTGTTGTGAGTTATTTGAGGAATGTGTGCAGGCCATAGTTGGTGTTGTAGGCCACATGAGATCTTGAGCAAACTAATTTAATATACCTGTGGCAGGAGTAGCAACTGTGTTTCTTACCATGGTGTAACTGACCTAAGGTTAGGAGACCTTAGCTTTGTTCTCTTTTGGAAAAATAATGTTCATTTTATTTTTATTTTATTTTTTTAAGATTTTATTTATTTATTCATGAGAGACATACACACACAGAAAGAGAGAGAGAGGCACAGGCAGAGGGAGAAGCAGGCTCCATGCAGGGGACCTGCCCACCTACAACTGGAACGTCTTCGGCCTGCGCTACGGCAGGCGGCGGGCCGCGACCCCGGGGCTGCGCGGGTGAACCCCAGACCCCAGGCTCGGGATCCCGGTGGGCAGGGGCCTGGGGCTGCGGTCCTGAAGAGAAATAAAGGTGATGCTGCGACAAAAAAAAAAAAAAAAAAAAGTCCCGACATGGGACTCGATCACAGGACCCCAGGGTCACGCCCTGGGCCAAAGGCGGTGCTAAACCGCTGAGCCATCCGGGCTGCCTAATAATGTTCATTTTAGCAGGCCTGGTTGCTCTCATACTGTGGTGGCTAGTATACATTTCTTCTGGCCATCTTAATCTGGTGTCATTTCATGTCACAATTTTGATTTATTGGAGGTATACTGAAATCCTTGTAGTTTCCTGGAAAGGTTAAGAATCTTTTTTGCACCTTCTTTTTTCTGCCTGCAAGATGTGTGGCCATCCTGCTTCCTCAATACACCCAACAACACAGACCCTTTACTTGTAGACTTGGTTCTGACATGACTTTTAGGAAACCATCCTGAGGGATGTTCTGAAGTCAAGGTCAGAGGTCCCACCTATGTCCTTCTTGAAAGTCCTATGCCCACTTCTCTTTTAACCTGTCACTCCATGGTGTGGTGTCCTGATTACCTGTTGATCTGCACCACTTGCTGAGTTCCTCGAGAAGGTTCTGTGTTTTCCTAGCTACGGAATCTCTCAATACCTGGTGTATGAAAGGTTGTCACATGCTTTTTGAATGATTGAAAAGTTCTTGAGCCATTTAGGAATGATTAGAGAATAACCTTTGTGTTTGAGGTAGAGGGAACCACTTTTTACCTCAACACTTTTGCTCTCTCTGATTTGGTTTGGCCTCGTCCGGCATTTCTGTAACTATTAAGTAATTCCTGTGCTCTAGGTGGATCATAGATTCCCCCCATAAGTGGAATAATTACAGTATTTGAATATGTCTACTTATTGTTTTGGGAGAGTAGCATAAGAAAACCCATTATAGTCATAACAGCCTCTTTATGACTGTGGGAAGAATCTTGACTCTTCTCAGTTTAAAAAGAATAATTACAGAGCTCCTGTCAGGCTTAGTTGGTAGAGCATGTGACTCTTGATATCAGGGTTATAAGTTTCATCCCACATTGGGGTGTAGGATTACTTTTTAAAATTAAAAAAATAGGGGATCCCTGGGTGGCGCAGCGATTTAGCGCCTGCCTTTGGCCCAGGGCGCGATCCTGGAGACCCGGGATCGAATCCCACGTCGGGCTCCTGGTGCATGGAGCCTGCTTCTCCCTCTGCCTATGTCTCTGCCTCTCTCTCTCTCTCTCTCTCTCTCTCTCTCTCTCTCTCTCTCTCTCTGACTATCATAAATAAATAAATAAAAAATTAAAAAAAAAGAATGAAAAAAAATAATCACATAAACATAATAAAAAAACTTTAAAACAGCACAAAAATGTTTAAAATAAAAGTAATGTTCCATCTTCATTTGCACTAACCCTTTTTAAGTCTCTCCAATATTAAGCATTATTAACATCTTGTGACTTTTAGACTGTGTTTTAGGAATGTAGTGTTTTCCTTAATGCCTGCTTTTTTTTTTTTAACATGTTTTTTTTTTTTTTTTGAGACAGACAAGCTGTAATCCTTCCTGTGCCTTACCTTCACTCAATATGGGCAGCACTTCCCCCAAAGGTGTGGAGGACCCTGATGTCATCTTCCAGAAGTTTTTGCAACAGGCTGCGAATAATCAGTTAGACTCTTTGATGGGCCTGAGCAGTTCACCCCCTGTGAAGGATAGTATCATCATTCCATGTGAATTCTGTGGAGTACAGCTGGAGGAGGAGGTGCTGTTCCATCACCAGGTAAGAATCCCTAGAGGACCTGTCCATTTCACTCCATGCAGATCCTTCAAATGAACCTAAAATTTTCAGAAGTGAGAATATTCTTTAGCTTTTAAGTTGCATGCATACCTGACCTGGCTTTTGCCCTGTTCTGTGAACTATCTGAGGTGTACACTACCTTAGGCTTTCAGACTTTATCTCTGTCAACTAAAACCATAATATCATTAAGTGAGGAACCGAGTAGCCACGACTCCATTTAAGCAGACATCCAGGACCTGGCAAAAGGATTTACTTTTTATTTATTTATTTTTTTAGAGGGTGGAAGAGCACATGGGGGAGGTAGGAGAGGAGGGGCAGAGAGAGAATCTTAAGCAGGCTTCACCCTCAGTAGAGCCGGATGCAGGGCTGGATCTTATGACCCTGAGATCATGACCTGAGCTAAAATAAAAGTTGAGTGCTTAACCAACTGAGCCACCCAGATGCCCTATGCCAAAAGGATTTTGATGAGTTTCCCTGAGGTGACTAATAAACATTTTATTTTTGACCAAGCAAATTCTTCCTGTTGTGGTGGCATTCCAGGAGACCTGGAGGTCTAGGAGACCTGGAGGTCTGGTTCTGGCTTTACCCTTATGTTTGACCTTAGATAGGTCCTGTCTTCTCACTGGAGAGATCTGTCAGTGAAGGAGTTAGACTGGACAGTCTGAAGCTCTTTTTCACCTTTGTAGTGTAGGATTCCAATCTGTTGCTAAAAAATACATTTTCTGCCTACATTTTCTTTTTTGTTATGAGGAGCTGATACTGGAGGTATGTTCGGGGTTATTTCAATAGTTGACCCTATATAGCTCTTGATAGAACATCACACATTTCAATTCTGTAAGAAGGATTTCTCCTTTTGGATCAAGCAGTAGACCCAGTAACTGCTTGTTGTCTCTGAGGGGAGACTATGAAATAAGTAACCATGCAAATATTCTTTTTTTTTTTTTCCATGCAAATATTCTATGATCAAAGTATTGACATGCTTTTCCGGGTTCTTAAGGCCATCCTTCCCTTCATCCTGGCAGAGTCAGAGTGCTTCTTTCAGTGCCTTAGGTGCTAATGGGAATGATTGTGCCATTCCATATGTGTTTCTTCTTAGTCGCAGGCCCTTCCTCACAGTGGTTGTCAGTCATGTCTGTCTCCTCCCTTCCCCACTAAGATGTGTTTACCCAGCCTGTTCTTCCTTCCTTTCCTCTTGGTGCTCCCTCTCAGTTATCATAGGAATGATTCAATCTTGAGGAACTAATTCTGGTTTTTCTTGTTAGGACCAGTGTGACCAGCGCCCAGCCACAGCAAACAACCATGTGACAGAGGGGATTCCTAGACAGGATTTCCAGCCTCCAGAGACCTCACCAGACCTGCCCAAGAGGCGTGTCAGACACCAGGGTATTAGCCAGGGCTGAGCCAAGGCCACAGGTCTGCTGCTGGCTCAGGCCTGCTTACCACTTCTCAACTGCTACTTTAACATGGGGGTTACCTGAATTCTGAATTACTAGGCACAGTAGGATCACATTGGGGACTCTTTTGAGGCTAATTGTGGTCCCATGTTAGACTGAGCTTTTTTTTCTTAAAGCTTTTATTTATTCATGAGAGAGACAGAGGGAGAAGAAGGCTCAATGCAGGGAGCCTGATGTGGGACTCGATTCTGGAACTCCAGGATCACGCCCTAGCCTAAAGGCAGGCGCTAAACCGCTGAGCCACCCAGGCGTCCCTAGACTGAGCTTCCTTAAGTGTATTTATAGGGTAATGGCTTTGGGGACAGCCATAAGATATGCTTCTCAGTGCTTATTCAGATGCAGGTCTCCTATCTGTGCAGTTAGTGGATAACTTGGAGATAATTTTCACACTTCACTATGTCTGCCCTGGGTTCCTGCTTCTAGTTGAACTAGGTTTAGGGTACTCAAATTTATTAGTAACATTATTTACAAACCTCATGAGGTGGCAAGTAAGCTGTTTTTGAAACCAAACCACTACAAAGCCAATTGGAAATCATTTTTCGAGATTTGCTGGCACACCATTGTTGAATACTCAGGAGACTGTATTTGAGGACTCAGGTAGTAAGTGTGAACAAAGTGTTCCTAATCTTGTCCTGGAGATGTGTGTTTCAACAGTAAGGCAATTGTCTTCTACCCAGAATCCTATTATTCCTGCCCCAGATCCAGCACCAATAGCAAGAGCAGGCTTTTCCCAAGAGCTGGTGCTTTCCTTTTTCTCTTCTCAGGAGACCTATCTTCTGGTTACATGGATGATATCAAGCAGGAAACAGCTAACGGGCCCACCTACCCTCTTCCCCCCAGCAGACCCATTAATAATATGACAGCTACTTGTAACCGACTGTCAACATCCACATCAGGCCCCAGACCTGGGTGCCAGCCTAGCCCTCCTCGCATACTGAAGCTCAACAACTTAGACAGCCAGGATAGCCGGGGACGCAATCGAAACAGCCATAATGCGGCCATGGTCACCGGACATGTTCCAGTGATTCATCCGGGGCGAAATCTCTACCCAGAAAACCTTGTACCCTCCTTCCCCCGTGCGCCCTCAGGGAGATACGGAGTAAGGTAAGAATCAGTAACCCAGGAGTGGTACTTGGGAGTAGCTCCGGAGAACAGAATATGGACTTTGCTTGTATTGTGACCTGATTCCAATATGTTCTTTTGCTTTCTGTGGGTTTTTCATTGTTCGTTTTGTCTGCTGGTGGAAAGTTGCTTTTGTCTGGTTCTGGCTGTTTCTGACTTTTATTCAGAGACATCTTAGGAACTAGTTTCCAATCCTTCTCTTTTATTTCAGTGGTAGGAATGAAGGTGGCAGGAACTCGCGGGTCACCTCCACAACCGCCAACTACCGCAACAGAACTGCAAAGGTAATTGGGGATCCAGCCAGTAATGCTCAATGAGGACTCAGAAATGAGTGGGGCTGGCATGGTTCTTGGAGTCAGAAGAGGTGGGCATTGAGCAGTGGATGAGGTTTCCATAGAAGTTTGACATTTCTAGGGTTCTAAAGAAGGAGGGCTGCTTTACACTTCCTCCTTTCTACTTCATTTGTTTTCTTGTTTAACAGGCAAAACCCCCCAAGCAACAGGGAGCTGGAGATGCAGAGGAGGAAGAAGAGGAGGAGTAATGGTGTTGCAGAGAACCTGCACAGTGGTTTCATCTTCTCTGCAGAACAGCACTTGCGTGGTTCAGGCCCCACCTCTTGGGCTCTATGGGCAGGGGAGGTTTTACAGATTTTAACTTTTTCTAGGTTATGGCCATTTTGTGTCTTTTGAGATTGTGGGAGTTTGAGGGTTCGGGGGGAGGGTTAGCAGGGAGGCTGTTGAGAAATGTTTCATCTTTAGCTGCTGCCTTTTGGCTGCACAGAAATATAAGTTATGACCTCTCAGCCACCAGGGTTCCATCTTTTGACATACTATTACCACTGCTTCTTGGTGCTGTGAAGTCCTGGTGGAAAGAGGAGAGAGAATTCTGGAAACCTGGTACTACTCACCAGTGTAGTGATTCTCTTCCCTGCTGGGGCCTCAATTTGGGAACTTTTAGGTAACCTCTCCTGTGTACTGCCCCTCCCCAGTCTAGAATTTGGGCCTCTAATATGTATGGAGGCACTCTGGTACAGTGTTCAGGCCAGTTGCAATATATGTTAGGAAAAGGCTTTGGAAATGAGTTGAGCTAGAGGTGAGTGCACTAGTGGCTTTGTTTTAATCTGCTTCTTTGGCATTTGGCATAACTGCCTCCTGTTTCTGGTGGGAGCACAGCTCCTTTGTCTTTACTGTCTTCTGATAGAGAAGGCTGGGGGCTCCCTGTTGCCACGAGGGCCACACTGGGCTCTGCCCAGATCAGGACTGAGGCCTAAGCTTCCATGGCTTGGCATAACTGCCTCCTGTTTCTGGTGGGAGCACAGCTCCTTTGTCTTTACTGTCTTCTGATGGAGGAGGCTGGGGGCTCCCTGTTGCCACGAGGGCCACACTGGGCTCTGCCCAGATCAGGACTGAGGCCTAAGCTCCATGGCTTGCTCTGAAAGCCAAGTATCAGAGCCCCCATCCCCTCTTTTTATTTTACTACTACTACTACCATTATTATTATTATTATTATTATTATTATTATTATTATTAACATACTTGTAATAGAAATAAAGTTTGTACTTGTTCAGCTGAGTCTTGTGGTTCCTTCTCCTTTGCGCTCTCTGGAGACCTCAGGGAAGGCAGAAAGAACAGGCTGGAGTCAGCCCTGAAAGACAGGGGATGGGGAGCAGGACTAAGCTTTCTCTGTGCTTCCTGGAATAGTTCCAGCATGAGCTTCTTCTCAGAGCCAGACATTCAAGATATAGTTTTCTAGGGACCCCTGGGTGGCTCAGCAGTTTGGCGCCGCCATCAGCCCAGGGCATGATCCTGGAGACCCGGGATCTAGTCCCACGTCGGGCTCCCTGCATGGATCCTGCTTCTCCCTCTGCCTGTGTCTCTGCCCCTCCCTGTGTGTCTCTCATGAATAAATGAATAAAATCTTTTAAAAAATATAGTCTTCTATTGGATTTTGAGGAAATGGATGGTTTGTTGCAGCTCTGGTGATGATCTGCGATGGAGATGGGACTACTTCCAATTGAATAGAGAAAGGCAGACTTCTTTCTTTTTAAAGATTTTATTGATTCAAAAGGGAGTGAACAAGAGCACAAGGGAAGGAGGCGAGGGAAAAGCAGACTCCCCACTGAGCAGGGAGCCTGATGCAGGACTCCATCCCAAGACCCTGGGATTATGACTGGAGCCAAAGGCAGACATTTAATCAACTGAGCCACTGAGATTTCATGAAAGCCTTAGTCCTGAGAGTGGTTGAGCTTTAGCAGAATTATCCATTACCCCTCAGCACTTCACAGTTTCCACAGGACTTTAGTTCGTGTTGGTCATGTTGAGCTCATTTGTTTTTCTCCTGACAACCTAATGGGGTGGGAAGAGAGGTAAGAATTGCCTTTTTTCATCAGTGAAAGGGAGTGATCTGCATAAGGTTATGCAGATTAATTCATGGCAGAGCCAGGTCTCAAATCCAGGTCTGAGTTATACTGAGAAAAAGAGAATATGGAATATAAAACTATAGGGTTTTTTGGGTATGCTTTATGTCAGTTATACCTTAATAATAGCTCAGAAAGAACTTCTTGTCTTTGATGAAAGAAGCCAGAAGGACTGAGAGACTTGTGCCACTTGTGGCATGATTGAAAATCCCCCTGGAACTTGAAGGTGTGAGGAAGAATCCTGTGGCAGAGAGAGTGATTTGGGGCTTGTCACCTATAACTTTAGCTTTTGGGGATGGAGATGGATGAACTTGTTTTCCTTCGCTTTGGTTGGATTAGACATTCAGGAAAATAGTAATTTTTTTGGTTTTACTTTCTTTAGTATTTTCTAGTTTCTAAATGTTTTTATTTACAATGGATATACTTTTTGAAATATTTTTTTAAAGATTTCATTTTAGGGATCCCTGGGTGGTGCAGCGGTTTGGCGCCTGCCTTTGGCCCAGGGCGCGATCCTGGAGACCCGGGATCGAATCCCACGTCGGGCTCCTGGTGCATGGAGCCTGCTTCTCTCTCTGCCTGTGTCTCTGCCTCTCTGTCTCTCTCTCTGTGACTATCATAAATTTAAAAAAAATTTAAAAAAAAAAAGATTTCATTTTAGAGCACACGGGGTGGGGGGGGAGAGGGAGAGAGTGTCTCAAGCAGACTTCCTGCTGAGCCTGGGGCTCAGTCTCACAATCCTGAGATAATAATTTGAGCATAAACCAAGAGTCAGATGCTCAACTGACAGCTACTCAGGCATCCCTGAAATGTTTTTTAAAGTATTGTATGCACCTAAAATAAGTATAGCTAAAAAGACTCAGGAAGTAATTTCTTGTCTTCTTTCCTCGGGAGGAACCCTTGAAATTCTCTCCTAAAAACTGCTTTTTTTTTTTTTTTAAAGCAATTCTTCTGGTATTCACCATCACATTTCCAAATCATGGCATTTGACAGCATTGCTCTTATTAACCATTATTGTATTTGCTTTAGCATTGTATCTGTAATTTTTTCCTAAAGTCAAGTTAGAGGGAGTTTTGGATGTAGTGCCCTTTAATCACAACTGCTTTAAGTGTTTATTTCCTAAGAATGAGGACATTCTTTTAATTTAACCACAGTGCAATAATTAGGAAATTAACATTGATACAGTGCTATATTTTACAAACCTTTTTCACATTTTACCAATACCAAATTTGTCCCAGTAATGACAAAAAAAAAAAAAAACATCTTATTTGTTCTAATACTCAAGTATAGTTATTTTACTGACAAGGTATGGTCAGCTGGTTCCTGTGTCTTTTTTTGGCGTGGCCAACTACTGCTTGAGCACATCCTTTCTGGCACAAGATACTCCAGGTTCGTTTTGTATTTTCCTTGCCTCAGGGCCAGAATTCTCTTGCCCAGAAACCTTGGATTCTTTTGAGGAGAAAGAGTAGTTAGAAACCATCATCTGGGTGCTTGGCATGTACATGAGGTTACTGTGTGGAGGCAGGAGTTAATTGTCCTCTCAGGAGACTGCTAGGAAATATGTGTGTTCATATATGTATTATGTATGAGTGTTAGAGATATGCATATACTTAATTTTAGGTCTGTGTATACCAGCATGAGTTCATAACCATACAGCCAATTTCAGTTTATCATCACAGGATTTGATTCTATCCTTTGCCTTCTCCAGCAATAAGAAATCTGATTGGAGTTATTCTCAGTATATTTACTTATTTGCTCAGTCCTCAAATACAGAGAAAGTGGTTTCAGAATTGCTAAACCTTACCACTATAGGAAACATAACCTAATAAGCTAAATATCTGTTTATAACTCTTTTTACTTTATTATAAGAGTATAGTCAAAATGTGTTAAAAATTTTAAGCTTGGCGCCGCCTTCAGCCTGGGGTGTGGTCCTGGAGACCCCAGATCGAGTCCCGCGTCAGGCTCCCTGCATGGAGCCTGCTTCTTCCTCTGCCTGTGTCTCTGCCTCTCTTTCTGTGTCTCTCGTGAATAAATAAAATCTTTAAAAAAATTTTTTTTAAGTTCTTTTTTTGAACCCCATCCTTTAGTGTGTTAGATTATTCACTGGAAATACACAGGTTATTCACTGGAAATACACTTAATCTTGGATTTTGTATTTTTAAGATTTTATTTATCTATTCATGAGAGACACAGAGCGAGAAAGAGAGAGGGAGGCGGAGACATAGGTAGAGAGAAAAGCAGGCTCCACCCAGGGAGCCTGATGTGGGACTGGATCCGGGGACTCCAGGATCACGCCTCAAGCCAAAGGCAGACGCTTAACCGCTGAGCCACCCAGGTGTTCCTATCTTGGAGTTTTGTTTTTATTCCATCTTAGGGATTTCTCCCCCCACCCTCAGACTTGTTTATTGTATTTTACAGTATGTGAAGTATTAGTATGGTTCCAAGTTAAAACTACAAAAGGTTTACTCAGAAGCATCCCTAGCCCTCATACCTTCCACTCTCATTCAACATCTCCAACCTTTCACCTTGTTTCCACGCACTGTCTGTGGGCAACCAATCACATTAATTTCTATTTTTATTCATTTTTCTCCGTCTAGATTTTCTTGTGTCTTTTTGCCAAAATAACCAAATGTGTGTATTTCTTTTTTCCTCTTTACAACCAAAGGTAGCATATTATAAATATTCTTGAACTTTTACTTTTTTCACTTCACAGCATATTCTCAAGACCACTCCCATTTTATATATATATATATATATATATATATATATATATATATATATATATGATATACCTCATTTTAAGAATCCCTTCATTGTGTGAATGTCCTATGGTTTATTTGCCCACTTTCCTATGTGTTGTTTAGGTTGTTTCCAGTATCTTATGATTAAAAATAATGTTGCAGTGAATACATTCTTATTTTTATTTTTTATTTATTATTTTTTTTTTTTTTGGAGAGAGTGCAGGGAGGGACAGAGAGAGAGCAAGTGAGAATCCTAGCAAGCTCCAAATCCAGCACAGATTCCCGTGTGAGGCTTGATCTCACGACCCTGACATCATGACCTGAGCTGAATGAAACTGAGAGCTGAATGTTTGACTGAGCCATCCGGGCACCCCTTCAGAGAATAAATTTGTTTCCTTATTTGTGAGAGGCAGAATTTTAAGTTGGCCATGAAGACAATTGACTCTTGGTGTACGTAGCATACATGTAATGTACATGTACATGGTGCACCTGAGGGTAGGCAGGGCTGTGAATATGATTGTTTTATGACAAAGGTGTGAAGAAATTTTGCAGGTGTAAAGTCTCAAATCAATTGGCTATGAGTTAAGGAAGATTATCCTGAGTGTGCCTGACCTAATCAGATGAGCCTTTAAAGGGACTGGGAGAAATAGACCAATTTCTTGAAAACCACAAACTACCAAAACTCAACCATAATTATGACACCCTTTATCAGATTTTAACAGATACAGCTATTCAGATCTTCTATTTTTCCTGAGTGAACTTTTAGTTTTGTCTTTTTTTTTTTTAAAGATTTATTTATTTATTCAGAGAGAGAGAGAGAGGCAGAGACACAGGCAGAGGAAGAAGCAAGCTCCATGCAGGAAGCCCGATGTGGGACTCGATCCCAGGTCTCCAGGATCACACCCCAGGCTGCAGGCAGTGCTAAACCACTGCGCCACCAGGGCTGCCCTAGTTTTGTCTTTCAAAGAATTTGTCCATTTCAGTAAGTTAAATTGGCACAAAGGTGTTCATAATATTACTTTATCTAAAAAGTATCTGTAAAATCTGTACTGATAACACCTATCATTTCTGATATTGGTCATTTTTTTTTCTTTTTCCCTGATTGGCTAGAGCAGTGATCCCCAAAGTTTTTCTTTCTTAAAGGCCAAATAGTAAATATTTAAGGCTTTGCAGACCATTACGGTCTGTACTACTCAACAATGCTATTAGGGAGTGAACATAGCCATGAATATTACCTATGAGTGAGACTTCCAGTGAGACTTTATATACAAAAACAGGCAGCTAGATTATGAGCCATGCTATGGTTATTTATTTATTTTAAAGATTTTATTTATTCATGAGAGACACACAGAGAGAGGCAGACACATAGGCAGAGGGAGAAGCAGGCTTCTCACAGGGAGCCCAATGTGGGACTCAG